CAAGACCAATACCAAGACTGACCTATGTCTCGTCTTGGTCTTGCATTTGGGCAACACTAGTTTCCACGGTGCAGGCTGGTGTGAAACGCTCTCCTGGTCGCCTGTAGACTCTCTTACGCATGTTGTTGGTGTACAGGCACACTCGGGTTTCGTCGGAGAACAGGACATTCCTCCACTGGTCGAATGTCCACGGTACGTGCGTTTCGTAAAATCGCTTCCTGTTCTTCCGGTGGATGGCAGTTAATTGGGGGCCTGTAGCAGCTCTCCGGGGCAGCAAATTCTTCTCTCATAGCCTTCTTCTGATAGTGGAGACGCTGTCAGCTGTCCTTCGAGTAGCTCAAAGCCGCTGCTGCAGTTCCACAGCGTTGGAGAAGCGGTTCCGCAAAGACGTCGACACAATGTAGCGATCACCTCTGACGGTATTGCAGCGACGTCTTGCGGATCCATGTCTCCTGATGTAACCTCCAGTCTCTTGGAACCGTTGGTATACCCGTTGCACTCGAAATCGGCTGATTTTCAGTTGCCGAGCAACTTCAACCTGCCGTAGTCCGATTTGCAGTAGGGCCACCACTTGAGCTGCTTCTTCTGCCATGGTATCCATTTTCACTGGGTTTTTTCTTGTCGAAGCTCTTCAGGTGTGACCTCTGTGATGTCTGGATAGCGAATAACCCATAATTGACTTTTACCCCCGCGTTTTATACGCGTCCAGGGTGGTACAATTAGTGAGCCTCCAAACGCGTACATCGCCGCTTTTTAATCAAAGTGCTGGCGATTTGTGGTTTTTGATTTTCCGTAAACAAATGATTTTTTTGAAAGCTTATTAATTGAGCTTTTAAATGATACTAATAATGATAGGGTGCAGGAAGAATCTTAGAAGTTATAATCGCTTGACACGAATTTTAAGAAAGGTGCGATTTTTTTGACGCCGAGTGTATTTCCTTACTACAAATAAATGATAAATATTCATTAAAAATGAAAGTACTATCCTTTTCCATCACCGCATAATCACAATATGACAAAAAGAGACGAAAGAGTACTTTGAGAGTCTAACATATTTTTTAATAAAGAGGACTTAATAAAAATAATAATTAGTGCATATATAAAATTCTATAATTATATATACTCCAGTCAAATTACGAAATAAATAAACATGAGCGAACACAGTTTTGGGATTTTGAGGATCGATAGGGGGGTGTATTCTGAGCATAAATTCCAATTTGAGGGGTTGTACTGAGGTCAGCTCAAGGTCATTTCGATGGAAACGCGTTTAATTCGATATCTCGAGAATGGTTAGTGTTAGGCGAAAAATTGTAGAGACCTGGTGGGGGGCCGCCGGCAGAGGGGCGGCTTGAAAATTTTTTGGGGGACGGGGAAAAGGGGGGGGCCTTTGTTTTCCTTAACTAAATTTACTAACTTTTTTTATCTGAAACTTTTTTTATAACATCTGTAATATTTTTTAAGTTATTACTCCCGCAAGGCAAAAAGTTTAGTACTTTTTTTTCCATTTTTCGTACTTTTTCTCCCCCAACCATTCAATTTTATAATAAATTTTACCGATCAAAGAAGTGTAGATCTTTTAATTATGAACAATTTTGTTCTTGAGCTTTTTTCCGTAATGCCAATACCTTCGGAGTTATAGAATTAAACTGTTTGTATGAAAAGACCTTGAGGCGACCCCAGAAAACCCCCCAAAAGGGGATTAGGCCCGAAAAAACCCCCCCCCCCCACCCCCCCAACCCCCCAACCCGTTTGTAACATGTTTATTTAACCCGTTTTTAGCCATAATTTGACTGGACTAATAAGGCAAAACCCAGATAACTCACCTTGCAACGGCTGGAGTAACAAACATAGCCCATCCGAGCATTGCCCCCGTGCATTGGACCATTGCGAACATTGGAGTTGTTGATACATGAATGTCATCAGGGTTATCGCACCAACGGAACGCCTAATGAAAATATATCTATTAAAATTAGTTATTGTAAAGGTAAGTGAGGCAATAGTTACTCCGAAATGTATGTCTATAGGTAATATCAAATGACCATAATCTTGAATAGTCGACGCATGGTCACTTCATGCAAATTGACCATGCCGTGTCCAAACTACTAACTAGGTTGTGGCGAAATCGTGATAACGACAGTCTAGTTACAGGACAAATATTAAAAAATGGTTTTAAGAATTATTACAGTTATTGGTTTAAACTTTAGTTAATACAAACTCTGTTACAAACTAGAAACGTCAAGTTTTTGAATTTTTTTAGCCATAACTTTATACCTCGTCCAAATTTTTAAGCTATTGCATAGATTTTATCGCGGGCTTATACTATATATATATATTATAGCGGGCGGGCGGCGATCGAATCAAGAAATTCCGTAACGAAAATTAACCTAATATAGACGCGTTAGAGCGGGACAGAACGCATACTGCGTCTCACATCGGTCTGGCGTGATCGGTGACGTAGCGCAGATGCGTTAGAGTGGGACAGGACACATACTGCGTATTCACATCTCTTTGACGAGATCGGTGACGTAGCGATTTTTTTCTTCTTTTGTATTTTATATTATAAATTTACTCACCAATCTGACAGTATAATCCGGATCAATTCCACTCAATAACAATGTGTGATATGTAACGAGACACAACGCAATCGCTGTCACTGCGCATGTCATGTGAAATTTAATCGATTGTTTGGGTGAATATTTCAAATAGGAACCATACTGCCATATATAAGGATCTGATATGTAGATGCATAGTGCTGGAGCCAGGAACGCACCTGAAATAGAAAATATAGACGTTAATTAATTGTGCGAGATGAGAAAATTTATCTTGTAGGGCTATAACATGACGATAATGAATTTAAAAAAATTTCATAGAGTACTAAAATGTCTCTTAAGTGCCCAGTCGATAAAATATTTTAAAAAATAAACTTGCTCGCATAATAAAGAAAACATTGTTATCAATGGTTTCATTACCCGTAAAATAGTCGTACATTTTTTAATTTACACACCCATTCTATACAATTCCTGACAATTTCCAAATTTAATTAAAAAAGAAACAATATGCAGCACATAGCCTAAATATTTATAAACTAGTTTTATTATATAGCCTATAGCTATTAAACAAATTGAATTGGTTCTCTGGAATTGAAGTTTCAGAGATTAGCACAAATTAAAACCTTCAGCTGTAGTTGCTTCATGTAGGTTTTAAAAGGGACTAGCTTCCTTAATAAATGGAGAAGAACCTCAATCTTAAGACAACACAATATTCAAGAAAACAAAGTGATAGCTATCTAAAAGAAATAATTTTCTGTTGTGATATTCTGTACCATATGTTACGCATTATACACAAATAATTTTATGTTCGGTTCAATAATTTTATAGTTATACATAAAATATTTTTTTAAATTTATAATATAAGCATATATTACCAATCATCCCTCCTACAATACACTGGTGTGGAAAGTGTGTACCTATATACATCCTTGCCAACATCACACTAATCAGTTGACTTCCAAACAGTGGGTATACGGCATACTTCCAAAGAGATGTCTTCCATTTGCTGAAAATAAATTATTCATTATGTTCAGTCATTTCTTTTACCTACTGATCGTACATAAATAGGAGAACTTTAACATATCTTCTAAAGTTGATAAGAAGAATGTTAGGATAATTGCTCATGTCGCTTACCGATCATTAAAAATGTGAGAAATCCACATAATAGCAAGAACTAGAACGGAAGCTGCAGTAGATGTATGCCCAGAAGGATTTCCCGGCCCCGTTTCACATGTTTGAGATGTTTGTAACAACTTAGGTCTTTCAGATCCTATATAGTAGTTTGTTTCATGGACCCACCAGTATGGTCGGTCTTCTAGGAACCACCTGAAAAAATTTGAGAAAGATATTGATAATGCTCATGGCCAAAAAAAAAATATTAGTTAGAACAGCATAGTGAATAATATCTTTGTATCAGCACAATGCCATTTAAAGTACAGTTGACTTGCAATAATTTGAAACTCCAGGGAACCAGAGATAAATTTAAAATTACCAAAAGTTTCAATAACCATGAGGGGGACTGAAGTAAATAAGAGTTTGATCAAAATTTGTGATTTATTATTAACAATAATTTCTTTTGGCTGATAGAACTTTAGTCTCTCAGCCAAAAGAATTTATAAAACAATTGATTGGTCTGTACATGTTCGCGAGCAAGATACCATTTCTTCAACTTAAAAGTACATACCGGTGACCAATCAATTGATTTATTCAATTTATCGGGGATTTTTCAAGGGATGGGAAAAAACATCAAATTATGGAGAGTTGTATGTTTGTTAACTGTATTTAATAATATTTGTTTAAAAGCATATTATTATATGGTTATAGAAAATATCTTTTACATACCATTTCAATATGCAATTTAGCCAGCCACCGAATGATGTGACGAGTAAGAGTTGTGAAGCAAATACAGAGTCCACGAATGATATAACTGGGAACAATATATCCAGTACATTGTTTGGATTGTAGAAATTGTTTACTTGCTCTAAGAATGGAGCATAATCTGAGCACCTGGAAAATTTTACAAAATATTGTAAGTATAATAACTAGATGTTATACATTTTTTGGTACATAATATGTGATAATAACTATCTATTTCTGAAAGTGCATAATTGTTAAATAGGAAAAACCGTTATAAGAATGCCAATGATAATATGCCATATTATTAAACAAAAAAGGTGACCTTCAGCCATTATTGAAGACTTTTAAAAATATATAGAAAAATAATAATAAAATAATTATCAGTGAGTGTGAAGGCTAATATAATTTTCAGCCTCTAGTTAGGTCTATGGCAGGACTTTCATAAAAAAGATTGTTGTTATACATCAGTCTCTCAGATATATATCCATTAATTTTTACAAAACAAAAAGCGACACAAAGGAAAAATCAATAATATTACCAATATTGGATAAGTTGGATGCAGGTCACTCCGAGTGCGTACAAATGGTCCTTCATGGTTTTGATTTCTTTTTCACAACTTTAAGAGATGTTAATACTTTCGTTCAATTTAAAACATTTCGTGTGAAAAAAGATCGAAGATCAAACAAATATTATTGGAATTTTGAATTTAAATAAGTCGCCCTTTTAAATGTAACACGGCGGCCGGCACACTGAAAATTTGAATGTCAATGTCATATTCATTTATTGATCATTCATTGAAATTTTAATGCTGTCAATTTGTGTATGATTAGCAGGTTCCTGATTTTTGGCAAAAGAAAATGTTAGTTTTTATTTGATTCCAAATTAAAATTCACATTTTCTCTGGCTAAATACGTAAAAAAACAGAAACAGTATTTATATTTGCCGTATTATGCCAAATATTAATCATGATTAAGCGACATCTAGCTGTTAGATACAAAAGTATAAGACTTATAATAAAATGTTTACTAGATGGTACACGGTACGTATTTTTACTATACGCTACTGAATCAAAGATGGCTTTGCACAGCTGTGCATTCATAAGCTTTGAATGACAAACACGTCATTATATGTCAATTCAAACAAATAAATTTAAAAAATGTCTAGCTATGCGTAGGTGCTCAACTATAGATGCCACTGCATATCTGTTTAAGTTTATTCAAAGGAGACATATTATAAACAGTTTTCTATACTTTTAAATAAAACTTTCTTAACTTAAATTTAATAAAATGACTATTATCTTATCCACTTTTTGCGTTTGGTAGGGGAATACTTAGTACAACTTATACTTCCTTCTACTTCCTAGTACTTCCGTTAGTTTATACTTAGGCAAAGCTAAGAGTAAACTAAGTGTCTTACGTCCGCATCGTGCTCCGGAGTCGTATTCCATATTCCCTTTCAACTGATTTCGTCGCCTCGCCTTGTTTTGTGTCTTCTTAACTTATACTGTGTTCTTTTGAGTCATACTGTGCGTAGTGTGCTGTTAATGAATAAATGGTTCTCTTCATTCGATTATCACATGGCTAAAATAAAGTCAAGAGATATTAAGTAAAAGTCACTTTTAAACTTTTTTTTAAAACATAGGGTAAACGGGCTGGAGGTCAAGAGTGTCCGCTGCCCCTACACACAATCAGAAGGCTAGCAAGTGCTTTGCGGCCTTTTTGGAAATCGGTAGGTACACTCTTGAAGGACCCTAAGTTAGACCCTTAGTCGTATTGGTTTGGAGTCATATATTAGAAATTTGTAATTTCTGGTTCAAACTTCTTTTACTAAAAAGTAGGTGTAAAATTTCTTGTAGCTTATGTTGTAAACAAATATAGTAAATAGCGTACCACCGCCACACCAGATAACCACAACCTTATACATCTTTAAATAAGGAAATTAGATTTTTTACTTTCACAGTGGAGGCAAGAAAATCCTTTGTATTTTTATTTAAAATTAAAGCAAAATAATTTCGTGAAATCACGGGTTGGACGCGCTAATCGCCACTAGATGGCGTTAAACCCCCGAGGCCAGTGAAGCTGGATTATTGTATTAATAATTGAGTATTATACTATGGTAGCTGTACGATCAGCGACAAAGGTTCTTCACAATTCATCATAATGAATGGAGTAGAGGTTACAATTGTGTGAAGCATTCTCGATCGAAAATACATTATTAAGCTCCAAAAAAGGCCAAGAAGTATGTTTTTTTTTATTTATTTTTTTACAATATTTTGTTTCTTTTCCTTTTTTGTATCCTATAGAGTTAAAGAACTAAAAGTCTTCTGTACGTACCTAAGGATCGTTTATCTGCTTCTTTTAAAGGTCCAGTGAATATTGATGTATTTTAGAACAATTTTCCAGCTTACCATAACTTTGTTTACCATGCTCTTTATGACATTTAAATTAGTTAAAGTTATAATTTTTTCAGTCTTTTATTTTGTGGTTGCTTGTTTAATTTTTTCCCTTGCTGGCTTGCTTGTTCTAATATAATTGTTTGTATAATATATGTCTAACATTAGTCATGTCACATTTTCTTGTATAAATTTATGTATAACGTATGTTTTAGAACTTATATATATATATATATATATATAGATAAAACAAAGAGGAATCCGTCTCACTGTAATCTAGTCCTAATAAAAATGAATTTAATAGCTACAGGAAAATTTACACTGGGAGTCTATAAAACCGATTTTTCCCAATCCGTTAATTAAGAGTGGTGCCAGCTTCTCTTTTCCTCTTTTATCGCTTTGGAACCTCAGTCACGGCAAACGTCTCTTCTAATTGTCTCTTAAAAATAAAACCCAGAGACCTACAGAGTACAGAAGTCAGCGAAATATTTAACAACATTTGCCAAGAGATACCTATTACAATAAATAGGAAAACTATAGTAATTTGTGTTTTCACTTTAGACAAGCCATCTTTTTTCTTTTGGAAGTTCTAGCTGGGTATTTCAAGCCTTACTTACTTGTGTTCTGCAAAAACTGGTGCTATCATTTATATATATTTTTTAATAGGGCATGTACTATAGATATTATATTTTCAACCATAAGAAAGTACTAAATAGCATACTATCTATATTCTATATATTATATAAAAATTAATCCCTATTTCCCTTCGCGGCATCACACATGAACGGCTGGACCGATTTCGCTAATTAGTTTTTTGTTGCGTTTGTTATTGTCAGGAGAAGGTTCTTAAGAAAGAAAAAAATAAGAAAATTGCGCGGAATATTACAAAATTTTGGAACAATATTAAATAGGTAATCCTGACTTATTAACGATAGCAATATTTTTTTTCAGTGCATAGCGCTTTTACAATTCTTTTTTGATGTAACCTTATGGCGTTTGACATAACATTGACATTATGCGTGCTGCAAATATCGTCAAAGAGGATATACGAAAAATTAATATCAAAAAATGAAAAACAAACAAAGAATGTTGTATATCATAAAGCATTAGAATAATAAACTCTTTGTTTCTGAAATATTTTTTTAGTTAATTATACCAATTGGAAATCAATATTTATAGTTAAGACCAGGCAACGTCTGTCGGATCTGCTAATATATTATATTTGTAAGACACAAAACAAATTTGCTTGTATATAAATATAATTTACACATAAAGAAATATAATATGGTAAACAAAAGCCTATCAATTTCTGCAAAGCAAGCAAAAACAGTACTTACGTTGCCCGGGGTACTCGAGGCGCGAATAAACTGACTTTCAGCAAATTTAATCTTTGAACATTGGGACTGGATTACGGGAAATAATGTCCGCGAGATATATCTTGAGATACAGTTGTCTTAAGAATGCTATGTTAGTCGTTATGAGTAATTTAGTACTGGGAGTACGTATGTACTAAATCGAAAGTATCTCTAAATTAATAATCATAAGTTAACGATTTTTTATACCATGTACACATTAAATGGAGTTATCTTATTAAAATAGTAACTTTGTTTAAAAATTAGACCTACATATGTAGGAAACTACAGAAAGGACATTTAAAATAAAGAAATTACATTTTAATGCAAAAAAATAAATCAGTGGCGCTACAACCTCTTTAGGTCTTGGCCTTAGATTTCTGAATCTGTTTCATGATCATTTTTAAATCTAATGGGCAAGTAGGTGATCAGCCTCTTCTGCCTGACAGACGCCGTCGACTTCTTTAGGTCTTAGGCAAGCCGGTTTCTTCACGATGTTTTCCTTCACCGTTCCAGCGAATGATAGAAACACAGTCCATTGGTGCATAGCCGGGGATTGAACCTACGACCTCAGGTATGAGAGTCACATCATGAAATAGATACAGAAATTTGAGGCCCAGATTTAAAAAGGTTGTAGCGCCGATGATTTATTGTAGGTTAATATTTTTATAAACACACTAGAAACTACAAACTACATAGAACAAAGGCACATATCCTAAAAAAACTAAAGTTATAAAAAAATTAACAAAGATATATCCGCCAATATCTCTTTCATGTAAACCGACCCATTTCTCGTAAACGCCGTATGATCACATAGAATTATTGTATTAAAATATAATCTCCCCCCTCCCTGAGGGGGCACTCTCTATCTATCTCGCTCTCACACAGGATTAAAGCTATGTAAGTATCTAATATCAAGGTAATATTCCCCCGTACCCGGTCTTTGAGTCAAGCAACGTCGTGGGTTCACTTTTCGGAATAACAATTGAATTTGCTTAAGAAAATGATTCTGTCTGCCCCATGGCCCATTGAATGTCTGGATCGTGATTCGATCATGTTTATAATGCTTTTATTATTGATAATAAATTCACAATAGAATTATTTATGTTCGTTAAGCTGTTTTAGGAATAACATTGGTTTTCCTTCTCAGAGCAACAGACTAGCTTTAGCGTGACTCTCATCCCTGAGGTAGTAGGTTCGATCCCCGGCTGTGCACCAATGGACTTTTTTTCTATGTACGCATTTAACATTCGCTCGGAAGGTGAAGGAAATCATCGTGAGGAACCGGCTTGCCTTAGACCCATAAAGTCGGCTGCGTGTATCAGGCACAGGAGGCTGATCACCTACATGAGATTGACAAACGATCATGAAACAGATACGGAAACCTGAAGACCAGACCTAAAAAGGTTTCCCTTTTTCTTTTTTTCTAACACTAAGGCACGCATGTAGGTATTTTCTTTCTTTTGTTAAAAATAAATAAATTACAAATTTACCGTTTAATTTAATTTAGGTATATTAAAAGCTATAACGGAACTATTAATATAGATACAGTACCTTTAAAAGAGTCCTTTACCACTGCTTGGACCTACTAGACGTTTTTCTATGTAATTTTAAATTTATGATAACTTAAATGGTCATGAGTTTTTATTAAGATCAATAAGAAAATTATGACGTTAACCAACCCATGATTTGAATGAGACAATGAAATACGACTGGCCAATTGTCAAAGTTGCCGCCAAAACAGCAGAGACAATGCAAAGGGTTTTTTGTCTCTGGCCGTAAAGTGTGGTAGTGTATCTGGGTTGCAATATAACAATAATTTACTACTGTAAAGTGAAAATAATACGTCA